CATTTTGGAATTTTTCTTTTACGTTGTTCCATTTGAAACATAAGCTGAAAACTATTTTCATTTATTTTGTAATTCCAAAACGTCAGAATTAAACTGACAGTGTAATGGCAGGAGTTATGGCTGCATTAAGAGGTAAAGGCTCCTCCTTACCTATATATACTGAACAATCCCTTCAATTCAGATACACCACAACAACTGCACAAAATCTCTCTAGTTCCTGTCTTCTTCCATTGGTGAATCCGTTCCGGTACACTCTTTCGGTTCGTTTGCGCAGCTGCAGTTCGTATCGCTGTATTCTGGGAAGCATGCGCTCGAATTACTTCGATGAGGGGGTGAATATTGCTTTAAGGACACTGTGTTAAACACAGGCCCCGACTCCAAGACGTCCATTTTATTTTCTGTCCACTTCAATTTGGTTTTTTACTTTTTCTAATTCAGTTAACTGTTTAACAAGTTTCTTACAATCTTAAAGCAATATACTTCGTACTGATATTCTGATTGTGTTTCATAAATGGAAAATAAATCTTCCAATAACGTTGTGGGATCTGCAAAGGAAACTGTACCTCATGTGGCTCAGGCTGTCGCTATGCCAAGTTCTGATGTGGCTCAAGTGCTGGCTCCAGTAATACAGACTGTGGCTAATATGCCAAGTCTAGCTGCTGGCCCGAGTGGAACTAAGATTGTGGCTCCCATGCCAAGTCTGGCACTGGCCCAAAAACTCATAGCTCTAGCGACCAGCCTCCACTATCCTCCTCAAAATAATTTTGCCCTCGTCGCCTAAAAACTCACAGTTAATTTTGCCGTCCTCCTCTCCTCACCCAGAATGGGATATTTGGAAATTGGATTTGGTTAATTGGTTTTGTTGTAGCTATTGGATTTGGGCCATTGGCTAATAGAATTCAAGCAAAATCTGTGGCCATGGATTGGGCTAATCAATTGGGCCTTTTTTTTTTAAATAAGGCCTTAAAAAATTTGAAATTTCCTGCTTCCACACCAATTCCAGCTCTCGTCCACTCCAGTGCCTTCTTCTTCATCTTCTTCCTGGCTCCTGGCGGACGGCCTAAAGCATCCGGCGGACCCAACACGGGCGCTCGAGAAGGTTGCCCAGGTGCTGGGTCCGCCCCTGATCGCCAAGTACTATTCGAGGAAAAATGACGAGACGTGTTTCTTTATAAGCCGTCTCGACAGAGAAACCGGGAAGCCAATAATGTCACGGTAGCCATGGATGATTGTTGTTCATTAAATTTCGTAAGCGTATGGATCGTGACAAGTAATAAAGTGGATTTATCAAGTTCG